TACTGGACGACCAGATCGAGGATCATTATTGACATCTTCTCTTCCTTCATGGAAACGCTTTGCCCATTCTGCAACTGTTGAATATGATGGAGCCTTGGATCCCAATCTTAATTCGAAATTGTTTTTATAAAAATAAGAATGCAGAAAGTATTCTTTCATTTATGAGTATATTTTTATATATCAATTTCATAACTCTTCAATTGCAACAAAAAAATAATAAATATATGTATAAATATAAATATAAATGAGTAAAAACAATACTGAATGAAATCAAATTTCAACGAAATCTGAAGCCAAAAAATCAAAAATGTTATCAATCAATGGTGCAACGCTGTGTGCACCTACACAATATCGAAGATCTATATTAGTTGAATGATCTTCTTCATCTTCACTATTATTATTATCATTGTTTTCTTGAATTTGTTCCTTCTTTGCCAAAACGACAGCTTGTTGTTTTTTAAGATATTTCGAAGAGTGGAGTTTTTTATGTTGTATCATTGCGGTCGACGACGGATGATATAAGAAGCAAATTGAACATGTACGTTTTAAAATTTCATCTTGAACCGATGAACATTGATAATCATAACCTATGTGGGCTGCTGGAATAAGATTGTCGAGTTGTAATCGTTGATAAAGGTCGACGAAACGACCATATTTGTCGTTTAATTCAGTAGCACAAATTCCTACAAAAATGGAATATAAAGAGACAGATTAATGTGCATTACTTTTATACCATTTATAGAATGTTTGAAGAGAAAAGGTGGAGGTAAAAATCTTTGAGCAATAACTTTTGAATAACTGGTTCTCCATGGAGGGCAACAATTCAAATCATTACATTTTATTATTTGTAGTAAGTATTGGGATTGACGAACATGGACTGTTAACCAATTGAGATCAAGCATCTTTGCATTTAGTGAAGATGAATCTTTTTCAACAATAGGTTCAATATATCGACAAACAACTGGATATGAATCAATAGTCAGCTCACTCCAAATTTCTGCTAAACATTCACCTAAAATTGAAAGTTAAATAACAAAAATCGCAATTTGACAAACATCTCTTATCTTTTAAGTTTACCAGCTCTTTTAAAATTTTGTAATTCAAGTTCCGTGTTAATTGTATTTCCATTATCATCAAGATGAGTTCCATAATAATCATGAGGAAGGATCAATCCTATAAAAATACAAGAAGAATAAGAATTCATATGGCATTTCATTTATGTACCAGCCAATTGATTAGAAAGTGGTGCCATTCGTCTTTCAACTATGTTATAAGCTGATCGACCAGGACAATTTGATACCACGAATAAACAATCAAGATCATATTTTTTAAAAAGTTGTACACCACCAGCTAATGTTTTTGAAAATCGAGGATTTTCGTCTGGTCCTCCTTGAATGTAAAAATGAAATGAACTAAAAATTATACAAGATACAATGTTCTTACCATCTACACTTATAATCACAATCGGTTTACATTTACCGTGTACTTTCATCACCGGTTCAAAGTCTTTTGACTCAAACAATAATGAAAAATCATAATGATGAGTTTCTGCTGTACTCGAAGAATGTTTACCAGATCGAATTGATATATATGTTGGACCAGAATATGTCACTTCATTCTTATTATTAATTGTACATGCTGCATAAACTAAAAGTAAATCAAACAATATTCCTTTCAATACTAAGTTTGAATATTTACCAGAAGGAATTAGTTTATGACGTGAAGCCACGACAAAGTCGTGATCTGGTAACGAAATTTTGTAATCGAGGTGCATTAGTAATGGAGCTTGTTTACGTGCAGCAGGAAGACCAATAGGTACTCGTGCTTTGTCATCTTGACTTAAAAAAAACACAGTATCACTTCCGAATGATCCAGCCAAAGTCTTTAAATGATTAATTGTGTTCGTGGCAAAATACTGATCTTCATGCTTCTTATGTTCATCATTCGTAGCTTTCTTTAATCGTACAGGAACTGTTTGAACATGTCGTTTTCCTTCAATAGAATTTGATCGTCGTGGTAATAATCTAAAAATGATAAAAATAATCAAATTTGTATCGTATCTACTATGAACTCACCGTAGATATGTTGCTGAACGACTAAGAATAAAGCCATGTAATTTCAAACGTTCAGTAAGTTCATCAAGTGTCATGCAAGGAGAAATCTGATTTGAACTTCGAGAAGGGTCAGCTGCAGCACCACGACTCGCAATTTCGACTATAACATCTACAGAATACCAACAAAGCTGTATAAAGTGATAGAAGAGTTCTGTATCAACTCCCACTAACCTAGTAATCCACTTTGTCCACGTTCTTCAATACGTGGTTGTCCACTTTGGTAATGCAAATCAAGATTATATTCACGAGCAACATCTGGACACTTCTCCATTAATTTTTTTAGTTTTAGTTTTCTGCTTTTTCTAAAATTAGCTTGAGATGTACGCGTTTGTTCGAGTCGTTTTAATTTCTTCTGACAAGCTGATCGTTGATTTTCCAGCACCTTCAATTGCTTTTCAGCTTCAATGGGTAGCAACATACTAGTTTTTAATGCACGAATATTATTTAATTTAGCAGTAATTTCGTCTAGTTCTTGTCGTACACTAACTTGAGAATGACATATCTAAAATAAAAAATTTTCTATTAGATACTTTTGTAAGAAACAATCTACCCTATTATGTTTGGATGATTTAATTGAATGTGAACAACTGGATACTGCTGATACACAACTGACATCACTTTCACTTGTCACATTAGCCGCTATTTCCATCGATTTTAATATTGAACTAGAATTTTGATTTGTCACAGATTTTCGTGCCCATACAGTGAATAATGATTGCGGTTGTTTTGATTTTATCTCTAAGGTCATTCGATCAATTTCCTTTTCAATTTTATCATTATCATCTAATTTTTTCAAAATTATCCATTGCTCGTTTCCCTTAGAAAACGCTGTCTAGAATAGAAAATATGATAATACGTCAAATTTGAATAAAAATATCTCACCTCTCTAGTACCCTTGAAAACAGCAACATATGATTTGATAAAACGATTGTATTGAGAACTTGTTAGTTTCCTGTTCATCGAAGTGATCTAAAATCTGAAAAGAACCATATAAACGAAAAATCTTTAACTTTAAAATTAACAAAGACTGGATATTGTATTTGTTTTTTCTCTTTATTTCAAACTTATATCGATGTATATAATGGAATGAACCACGTAATCAACTCGAAAACAAAAGATTAAGTGGCTATTCGTTTGATCTATTCAACCAATAACACAATATCGCAATTCATGACGCTAGTGTAATTAAACCAAAGAAATATATAAAATACCACATTACCCTTGAACCAATATGCACATAGGAAATCATTTTGAGTGAACCTTGTATTATAGTCTA